ATGGTCAGCACTTGTCCTCGTCCAAAACCTGTCCAGTATTTGAGCGCGAAACGAAAATATTGAAACTTAAATGTACCAACAACATCTCTTATACTGAAGCAAAAAAGTTACTTTCAGCTCAGTCTCCTCCTTCCGCTAAAACCTATTCATCTGCTGTGACTTCCACTCGTCCAGCCCCACAAATGTCAACGGCGTCGACGCAAACTGACATCTCCTGGGTAAGTGACAATCAGATGAACTATGGCAATACACCAGTATTAACATCCGCCACACAAACAGAATTTCCATCCACAACTCAAACTAAATCCTTAGATACAGTGAATGTACAAGATATCAATCAGGATGACCCCCATTTATCAAGAAAATCAAAAAAGCAAATGAGGAAAAAAGCCAGGGCACTCCAGCACTTGGAGGAGCTTTCTCCCTCAAAATCCCCCGTAGAGGTTCAAAATGTGTTTGACCCTCTGGAGATGGAGGTGAGTCCCTCACTCCCACTTAACAGGAATAGGACTTCCTCCCGTTCTCGATCTCCAGTTGAAGCTCCATGACCGGATGCAATATAGTTCAGTGGAATTGCAGAGGACTGAAGAATAACTTCAATGAATTACAATTACTAATACAAGACCTTCAGCCGTCAGCATTCTGTCTCCAAGAAACATATCTTAAAAGTACTGATACCTTTAACTTAAGACAATACATTGATTATCATTCTTTTTCCCCTCCAGGGGATAAAGCTACTGGAGGCGCTTCTATTTTGGTGCGGCAGGGTATTATACATAGCCCTGTCTCACTTAATACAAATCTTCAGACTGTTGCTGTTCGTTTAACTCTGCACATAGCACTGACACTGTGCAGCTTGTATGTACCACCTTCCTGTAATATTCGACAATCTGATCTTCAAAATCTCTATGATCAGCTTCCAAAGCCATGTGTTATCATGGGCGATCTGAATGGACACAATCCGCTTTGGGGAAGTGTCAACACAAATAGTAAAGGTATAATCATCGAGGAATTCATTTCCGATAATAATTTATGTATTTTTAATGACGATTCAGCCACCTATTTACATCCAGCTACGGGAACATATTCTTCCCTGGATTTATCACTTACTGATTCAACCTTATATGATGAATTTGAATGGATGGTACATGATGACCTATGTGGGAGTGATCACTTCCCAACCATTCTCAAAAACATCAACCCTGGTGATGATCCACCTGTATTCTTTGGCAGGGCTGATTGGGCATTGTATAAGACTCTGTGTGTTGAACACATTACGCATGGATCTTTTGGAACAGTGAAGATCCTATACAGTCTTTTTTCGGATATTTTAAATGGGCTGACAAAACAATTCCACAGTCCTCTGCAACTCCACCCATGGTTTAATAATGAATGTAAACAGGCCAGAAAGTGCAGGAAGAAAGCGGACAAATATTTTCGCAAACATCCTACAGTCCATAATTTAGACAAAGTTAAAATATCAAATGCCAAGGCTCGACGTGCCTTTAAAACAAAATAAGCGTCAGTCTTGGAGGAATTATGTTTCCAAAATAAACTCACGTACACCTATGTCCAAGGTGTGGAACATGGTCCAAAGAATTAAGGGCAAAGGTTCTAAATCTACTGTACACCATCTGAAGGATGGTGATAATCTCTTAACTAATAAAACTGACATAGCAAATAAAATTGGCGAAACTCTTGCCAAACATTCTTCATCATCAAATTATGTCCCTGAATTTCAAAAACACCAGAAACAACAGGAGAAGAAAAGAATAAATTTTAACTCAGACAATGGTGAAGATTATAATGAAGTATTTTCACTCCATGAGCTACATACTGCTCTTGAGCAAGCTCATGATACAGCTACAGGGGCTGATGATATCCACTATCAGCTCCTAAAGCATTTGCCCGAATCGTGTTTGGAAACACTGCTAAATATATTTGATATGATATGGACTACAGGGAATTTCCCAACTTCCTGGCGTGATGCCATTGTTGTCCCAATACCAAAACCTGGCAAGGATCATACAGATCCGTCTAATTACAGACCGATATCTCTAACTAGCTGTGTCTGTAAAACCATGGAACGTATGGTGAATAATAGATTAACTTGGTATCTTGAAACCAACAACCTTATAACCAATATTCAATGTGGTTTCAGGAAAATCGAAGTACCATTGATCATTTGGTACGATTAGAATCCTTTGTTAAAAATGCAATCGTAAATAAACAACATGCCGTATCGATATTCTTTGATCTCGAGAAAGCATACGATACCACCTGGAAGCATGGCATTTTAAAGGATTTACATGATTTTGGTTTGAGAGGCCGTTTACCTCTTTTTATATCACAGTTTTTAAAAGACAGGCAATTTCAAGTCCGAGTGGGTTCTACCCTGTCTGACCATTATAATCAGGATCAGGGTGTCCCACAAGGCAGTATTTTGTCTGTCACATTGTTTAGCATTAAGATCAACAGTTTATCCAAGGTTTTAAATGATTCCATTGATGGATCACTTTTTGTGGATGATTTTAATATTTCTTGTCGCGGTAAGAATATGCATACCATTGAACGACAACTAGAGTTGTGTTGAAACAAAATAAATAAATGGTGTCTTGAAAACGGCTTTAAATTTTCTAAATCAAAAACTAATTGCATACATTTCTGCCGTAAATATAAACAACATAAAGACCCGGCACTGTTTTTAAATGGCAATCCCATCAAGGTTGTAAAGGAGGCCAAGTTCGAAGGTCTCATTTTCGACTCCCATTTAACTTTTCTTCCGCATATCAAATCTCTCAAAACAAAATGCCTGAAGGCACTCGATTTATTGAAAGTCGTGTCTAATTCAAGGTGGGAAGGGGATCAAGCTACGCTCCTACACCTTTACAGATCACTTGTCCGCTCAAGGCTTGATTATGGCTCCATCGTATATGGTGGAGCCTGCAAAAGCAACCTCAAACTACTTGATTCTGTCCATCACCAAGGCCTAAGACTTTGTCTTGGGTCTTTTAGAACCTCTCCTGTTGACAGTCTTTATGTCGAGGCAGACGAACCTTCTCTTAACCAACGCCGTATAAAATTATCATTACAATATATTACAAAATTATATTCAAACGAGTCTAATCCTGCATTTCACTGTGTCTTTAATCCTCTTTATGAGGATTTGTATAACAAAAAATCTTCTCTTGTTCCGCCTCTTGGGCTCAGAATTAAGCCATTTATTGCTGCTGCCGGCATTGAGCTGGAAAATATAGCTCCTTCCCGTCTTCTTTCTTCTCCTCCTTGGCAATTGGTTAGGCCACAAGTTGCCCTAACATTAACATCATTTAAAAAAGCAGAAACTAATGAATTACAATATAAACAAGAGTTTAATCAATTAAAAAGTAAATATAATACATATAAATCCTTATTTACAGACGGATCCAAGGATGGTGGCGCGGTGGCCTGTGCCACTGTCATTGGATCCAGAACATTATCTTCTCGTTTACCAGATAACAGCTCTATTTTTACAGCAGAAGCAAACGCAATACTAACAGCCTTAAAATATATTATAATACACCCTAAATATCAACAATATATCATCTTTTCTGACTCACTTTCTTGCCTTCAGGCTATTAAAAATATTTCTTGTACACATCCACTTTTATTAGAAATTATTGAATTGTATAATAAGCTTGCGACTGGCCAATGCGACATCGTCTTTTGCTGGTTACCCAGCCACGTTGGCATTTCTGGGAATACAATGGCCGATCTTGCTGCCAAGGCAGCACTCAACAAATCTGTGACACCACTTCTGATCCCGTACTCTGATTACAAAGCTGCTATTAGATCTTACATCCGCGATCTGATGCAGAAGAAGTGGGATACCCAAGTAGGTATCAATAAATTACATGCAATAAAACCCTATATCGGTTACACTTACTTTGGTTGTCAGTCCAGATTTGAAGAGGTCATCATACGACGATGTCGTATTGGCCACACAAGATATACTCATGAGTACCTATTAAAAGTTGAGGATCCTCCGTTCTGTATCCCTTGTGATGAAAGAATCACGGTCAAGCATGTCTTGCTTGACTGCATTGAATATTCCATCACAAGAGATAAGTATTTTAATGTCAAAACATTGAAGGATCTTTTTAATAATGTTAGTTCTCATTTAGTTATTGCCTTTTTAAAAGAATTAGATTTGTTAAGTGATTTGTAAATGGATATATATTTTATTATTGGTAGTTTGAATTAGTAACTGAGATTGTTAGTGGCTGTACCCTCAAAGGGGGTTGAAGTAGTGTAAAATTATTGTCCTCCTGAGAGGGTACGTAAGTCCTAAAGCTTTCAAAGTTAACTTTTTGCTTACCCGATTTTTAATCGTAGTATATTTGTTCATTTAAATTTTAGCTAAACTTGTCCTACAATCGCCAGCCGCTGAAGGGATGGTGTAAATCCAACTAGGATCCATGCAGGTAGCGAAAGTAATGTAAGTCCCCATGGTTCCTAGTATGGTGATCTATCTTCAGTTGTTGGCGATCTATAGCCCATTTTTATATTGTGTTGTCCCCTATAGTTAATATGTTTTAGATTCAATTACTAGTTTTACATATATATCTGTGATACTCTAGTTGCTTTACTGTCCTTCGATGACAGGTTTTATAATATATACATATTCCATTACAATGTAAAATGTTCTCGTCACGATATGGCTGAAATATTGCCGATGTGACGTTAAATATTAACTCACTCACTCACTCACTCTTTTTAGATTTGCATATGTGCAGGACCTTTCAAGCCGCTATGCTACCAACGTTGGTCTTCTTTGCCACATGGTCATTGTCATTTCCACTAAATAACTGTAAATACAGAAACTTCTTGGCTTCAGCAAAGTGGTTGACGATCTGTTTCACCCCTGAGGTTACTCCTAGTGTTATTCCCACATATCTCAGTCACGCATTTGCACTTTCCTTCTTTCGCTTATGCTATAATGTCATAATTATTCTTTCCAGGACCATCAATTTTTAATGACACATTATCATCATGGTGCGGCCCTTCACGACCGACCTTTCAAAGCACTGGATCAGCTGTGACATTTCACTTCCATACAGATACAGCAACAGCTAAAAGAGGCTTCAAGTTGGCATACTTTGAAACGAATGGTATTCCCTTTTTACAGTTATTCGCATTCCCCTATGTGTAGTAAATAAAATGTCTGTAAATATACATACATTACGAAATGTGAGAGATGTTAAGAGTCAGGCTCACAGTGGAATAGAGTTTTGAACAGCTGACAAAGTTTGCAGCCTTCAAAATTCTGATAGTCATAGTTCGAATTCCAAATTCCCCGTTATTTCGATCTTGTTTGTCAGCATTAATGATTATGGTACTCTTTACTACATGCGTCGACCTCTCGATGACAAAATGACATGCTATTATATTGCTGAAATAATGTCTTTTTCAGAACCATACCATTGTGGGGGAACTCTGAATGTCACTACGACTGACATCACAACACTAACATCGCCTAACTACCCTGGACCTTACCCAAAGTAAGAAAATGTATACCAACCTGCGGTTGGTGTGCAACAGATATGTATATATGTGAACAACCGGGTCAGAACTGATCTTCACTCACGGCTAGTGTACTAGTTTGTCGTCGTAGCCAATCGACGCACCTGGTGTCAATCACCGGATTGTCTGGTTCAAGCTCTATTAAGTACAGACTGCCGTCACATGACTGGAGTAATGCTGAGTGTGGCGTTAACCAAACACACAAACATAACTTAATGTTCTATAGGAATATTAAATATGATATAAGTAGGTAACACTATTCGACTGACTGACTGACTGAGTTTGGTTTTACTCCGCTTTTAGCAATATTCCAGCAACATCACGGCGGGGGACACCAGAAATGGGCTTCACACATTGTGCCCATGTGGGGATTCGAACCCGGGTCTTCGGCGTGACGAGCCAACGCTTTAACCATTAGGCTACCCCACCGCCCCGTAACACTATTCGAAGTGCACGATGTATACCAATATATTTTAAGCTAGAAACATCAATTGTGTGAACTATCTTAAACGTTGTATATCACCACGTGGTATATCAATCATATGACGCTTGTGATTTGTATTCTGTTTAATTGTCAACAACATAAATAGACGATAGTGAAAATATCAGAATTACCTTCTCCCTCACAACATAGTCTACGAAAATAGTCACAAAATAGAGGAGATTAACAATAGCCAGTGCGTGGACAATACAGGCGTTGGACAGTAGAACTGGACCCATACAGTTTATTACATCACTACTACAAGTTGTGTTAAGAACACCATAAGTAATTTAACATTTCTTCAACAAGATTAATGCTGTACAAGTGTCACAAAAGTATTTATATAACTTCACTTAAACTCCTTTAGGAAAGTTGATGCACATGAAATGCTAACAAATCATTTTTATTCCCAAGGAGCTAATCCACTTGGCCTTCACTACTAAATTTGTCAGATAATATGTTGCGGCGATTAAACTGTAAAGGTAAATAATCCTGCATATTTCCATATTTATTTTCGGTATTATCTTTAAATTAATACTGTAAATTTGAAGTTTCTAAATGAACAACGCCTTGAATGATGTATACCGCTTTAAGCAACCACTGATAATGACGCATTTACCGCTTCACTTGTCATAGAAAGTTATATACTCAAAATTGCATTGTGAAAGGACAAGTTGACCAGTAGAAAGTTGAAATTGTTCCTCTTACCATACACACTTTCGGGGAGGTTTTTTCATATTCTGAATCTTTATGCCCGACTTTTCGCTACATACGTTAAATGAATAAAATCGAAGGAAATAGCACATGATGATTAAACTACTTTCTATCTGACAGACAGTTGAGATGAGAAAAATGTGTTGAGATTATGAACTTTAAGAAGACAGAACACATAGATAATTGATCTTCTGTATTCAAGCGTTCAGTGCTTGTGAAAGTTTACACCTATCAACAAATTCCCTACAGCCATAAATGAAATGTTTGTTTTCTTGAAATTCATAGCATCTATGCCTTTAGTATGCAGCGTGAATATTATATTCTGTTTGCCATTCACGACATCGTGAACGAGAAAATCTTGTATTCTGGTCTGCTCTGATGGCATAAACAAGTATGTCATGATTGTCATTTCAGCCGCCAGGAATGCATCTGGACCATACATGCTCCAGCAAACACGAACATTGAAGCTAAAGTCAGGAACGCATTGTTTGAATCACCATCCCAATGTACATACGATTTCCTGGAAATACACGATGGTAATTATTCTTGAAACCATTTAATAAGTGTGACACAGGAATATGCCAATGCTCCAATTGTATATGTGTCATTGGAACAAGATGTAAACATATTGTGATGAAGAACGTGGAAGGAGGTGGAGGACAGGATATTACACCAATTGCATTCCTTTTGAAAGACTCTGCCTTAGATTTAGCTCGTGGTTTAACCTCTGATGTTCACTAAGTTGCTTTTCATTGGATTATGAACAATATAGTCAGGATCATGGGTTTCCTCAATATTGCAGTGTCAACGTATAATCATTTAAAATTTAAACGTAACAATGATGCTCATGTCATTTGTTTTATGAATATTCAATTTGTGTTAACGTGTTTTTGTGCACAGGAGTAAGTACCAGTACATCAAATGCCGGGAAATTCTGTGGGGATGACACTGACTACATCAGTTCCGGCCACATCATCACCGTAAGGTTTCATTCTGACTCATCAACCAGACGCAAAGGATTTCAAATGCAACTCAAAGCGGGACACTTCAGCGGTAAGGAAGGTGGATGCGCAATTCCAACACTGGATAAACATGATGTTGTATGTAACCTCTGCAGTACACATCACTGGACCGTAACCTTATATTGGCCTTTCTGTTTTATGTTAAGATTTAAAAAAACACCGATAATTTGTACATCACGTTTGTGCATATAACCAAAGTTACGATATATTGTCTAGTTGGTTAACTTCCCACTTGGATAATATACCGTTCACATACATCCATACATGCATACACATACATACATACATGCATGCATACATAGTTACACATACATACATACATACATACATACATACATACATACATACATACATACATACATACATACATACATACATACATACATACATACATACATACATACATACATACATACATACATACATACACGTATCTAAGTATTGTGTCATATAATATTTCAGTTTCTGTGACAGAAGAGTTTTCAGCTTCCTACAGCAGCGAGTACATATATTCTCCGAACTACCCATTTAATTACCCGAGGTGAGTGCTCGTTTTATACGATCATATGTCCTCTCCACAATTCCGATTATTTATGCCGACTATTAATACCATACCGAAACAGGAGGAAGGTAACAAACATTTGGTCAGCCTGTTTTGACTAGATAATGGCAAGCCCATTGTAAACCACTCTATACTACTAAGGTGTGTTAGAAGATATAGATTTAGGCGTGATATAATATAAATGAAATGCTATAAAGATAATAATATTGAAAAGAATAAGAAAAAAACCCATTTCCCTATCATCAGTCCTGAGAATAGTACCAGCTATATATCGTTTCCTGCAAAAAATAGAGTCTGGACACAAGTGATTCACATCATCAGCACCTATTGGGAAACAATGACATGCATCAACCAGGTCAGCGATCCTGACCTCCCGATGGCGTTTTTCGCCTCTTACGACAAACATGGGACGCTGATGATCAATTCTAACCGCAAGATTCATCACGAGTGTTACACTTTACTACGTGTAATAGTTTTTACTAGAAATGTCATGACGTCGTAAGTAGAACAAGCACAAAAAAACATCACCCATGAAAGGTACATATCGTCTACGTCCACTGTTTTGGCAGATCGTATGACTACAATACACGCGTGTTCTGTATTCTAGTAACGCTGACGTCGGCTGGAAGATCACCGCAGATGAATACTACATTATCAAAGTCAACGTTATGGAATCTAGAATCGAAAACTCTTTCGGTTGTGTCAGTGACTACGTGGAGGCATTTGACGGTAAGAGATGGGCCGTTTGGTTTGGCTTTTTTGTTTTTTTCGACAATAACTGATGCTTAAAAGCCAATTCTAATACAGTTACCTTTATTTTCATAATATACTAACATCGAATGATCGAGGTAAACAAATTTTGTGAGTGTGTATTAGTAAATGGTGTGCGTGTTGTCCAGTGTCCAGTGTCCTGAGGTTATGATCTTTGTGGCTTCAGAATAACTATCGGATTCGATTCAAGTGGACACGTCATATAGAACATGTGTCTGCACGGATTTGTAGAAAATATATATTGTTTTACAGGGCCGAATTCCAATGCCCCTTCACTTGGTCGCTGGTGTGGAAAGAGTGAACCTATCAAACGCAGTTCTGGTCAAGTTATGTTCCTGAAATTCAAGTCTGATTCATCTGGTGTTGATCGTGGGTTCAAGATAGAGTATACCAACGAATACAGTTATCATTCACCCGGTAAGTGTGAGACAAGTTGATTATACAATTTAAAACCCCATGTTCGATGTTATCGAGTTGGAAGGAATTTAGGATCAGTCAATGAAGCAGTGTGTGAACAAATATGACTCTTGCTTGTATGTCGTTGATGCAGTTAGGTCCATAGTCCGGGGGTTGTCTGGCCCTTTCTTTGACCTGTGCCCTATATTCCCCTTCTTGTTTGGGCGAACATTTCACTTGCATGTGATTTGTTAAGGCTGCCACGATTGAACAGGATACGCTAAAATACACGAACGTTTAGTATCGTGGCTGTTTGACGGTGGTTTATGGAGATATGCTCGTGGCGTTTTAGAAGACGTTGATGGACTACTTTAGCTCAATTTACCAATGATGAAGGAAGGGATTTGGTCGATTATTATTGCAATCGTAACTGCACTGAATCCTTCTGACTGAATTTAATCCAAATTAATTAATTCATAATTAAAGAACACGAATTACAGTTATATGACAAATACAAAAAAAAAAAATAGTTGGAGGCAACGATGAGGTCTCCTTGGCTTTACTTTCTATCTATTGTATCTGAGGGCTAGATATCACCGTCCAAAACGGAGCCAGAACACGTGTTTTGACAGGCGAGCGGATCTTCCAAATACAGCCGGGGTAGTTAAGTAGTTCCGGAGAAGAAACAGTTCCCTCTTTAAAAGGCTGTATCTTAGGTGTTCTTGGGTCTACGTTCAAAACAATTAGTGGTCTGGAATCACCAGGACATCATCTACCATACTGGCACTCTTTGTGCAGAATCTGCACATTTTGGGAGCAAACTACTCAGAAAAGTGCTGAAAAACATGGCCCAAAACTGAAAACAAAAGTAATTGCCAAACGGTACGTTTTAGCGATTTGACCCGTCCAGGCAAAATTGTTGGGAATTCGATTGTGCAACTGTACAATAATTTGGAAGCGGTGGAACAATTAGTTCTTGAGATATTTGCTGTCAAACGTTGAAATTTTGGAATTAATTTTGAATTATCTCCTCTTTGCTATTGGGCCAAGAGCCTAGAGATGTTTAAGGGGAATATCTACACCTCGGTTCGCATCTGTGTGATTTTTTGTAAGCGATTCGGAGCATTGGTTTAGGAGTTATGTTTGGTACAAAAATCGGCGGAATAATAAATAATAATCCGGACGATTACAATAGGTCTCCTGCCTAGAGGCAAGGAGCCCTAAATATGAATAAAGTTTGTTTTAGAATTAAGCCACAGATAGAAATATTAAATCAATTAGAAACAAACTGGCTGCAGAGTAAACTGTGGTAAGCAAAGAGCTTGCTGAAAACCGTTCATTGCTCTGTTATCGTGCTACACTGACTGACTTTAAAATGGAGTTTTGAAAGAATTCGTGTTATATGTCCTCTTTTGTTGAACAGCCATCGATAATATACTTCAGGTATTTCACTGCATGCTAATTGTAAAAACCGGAGACTGTAAGATGTATATAGCGACATATTTATCAGATTCAAGTAAAGGTAAGCAACCTGTAAAGTTAATGTGTTCTGTTTGTCAGTAGTTCCTGACTATTGATTTATGAAGAAGAGAGATAATAGCTACTGTATACAAATGGTGAAACTATTGTTGAGAGCCAAGCCAAAACTTATAGGTTGTAAATTACAACTCGTAAATTTGGTCCATGATGACTTGGTATATAAACCTTGCAATGCCTTAGTGAGTATTACCTAATGTTTCTGTATCATCATATTTTATAGATTTCGAATCTGATGTTGGAGCTATTGTTGGGGGTACGCTTGGTGGCGTGTTTCTTGTGCTTCTCATAATAAGTGTAATCGGCATATACATCTACAAACACGGCCAACGCACCACCGCCACCAACATTCCAGTGCAATATACTGTAGGCCAGGTACCTGTGATCAACAACTTTGGCCAAGCACACGTCACCAACGCAATGCCCGCCACAACCTTCACTGGACCTCCTGCCTACACACTGGCAGCTCAAGGAGCTGCTATGCCGTCTTCAGGGTACGTCAATGCGGAAGCATTGCCCAACAAATATTGAAGATCAAATTTGTTCAACCGTCATCGATTATTAAAAATAGCACCCCATTGACGTCCAATCAAATGACTTAAGCTGAAGTGAAGAGGTGCTGTGGCGAATAGCTATGGGGTACTTATCCTCATAGAATGGAACTATACACTTGTGTTCGCTTTACACCATGTGTAGTATAATAAAGCATACTGGTGCCCTTAAAAAGTAAACTACAATTAAAGCAAGAACGATGCCTCCAATAGTGCCTTAGAACACGTTTGGTAGTGGTCAGAGGTTTTGTACAGCTTTGTGGCGTCAGCCCATTATTTCAAAAGGTGTAAATTTGGCACAGGATGCACAGGATCATTTGACGATGCAGCTTAAAACAGATAATCGGTAACAGGATACGGCATGATCTGATATGTATTGATTTGTGTATGTTATCTCGCATATTTTTCACGAATGATGTTCATGAAAAAGAAAATAAGATAATATGCGAATTCAGTTTTATGGATATCTTAACAAGAATGTATAAAAATGTATAGTTCTTTGATGCTTTTTTCTCGGAAAACTTCAACGTTGTACAGAAATGGATAATGCCAATTTCAGTGATCATGTATGTTTATCCGTGTCGTGCACAAAACAAATCTCTGACAGTCATGGATTCAGATGATTTTGTTTGAATTGAATTTTAGTTAAACGTCACTTTTATCCTGCAACCAAGATTGGAAATGATCTATGAATATTGCCAACCGCTAAAACACGGTAATTTTCTGTTCTGTTTTTCTGTATGTTTTTAATTTTCAGCTATAATGTAAATAAAGCGACCACGTATGTTCACACTTTGTTCTGGTTTGGGTAAACACTGAACTCTCAGGTACCATATATATTTCCTGAGCTTGACATATCTAGGCGCAATATAGCAAAATGGCGCAATTGCTGTTAGTAGGTTGTAGTGAAAAGGGTTATGTCATGGTTGTGGTTTACACTCGTAACCAGGTAGACGCTAGAACAAGACTCTCCTGGCTATGTATATAACGTCGGGACACAAATCTATGGGTTTCATATTAACATATTTTCGTTGATGCATTTTTTAACACGTGATACCATATGCATTTCTTACCTTCGAAGACACCAACCCATTTACTCCCGAAAATACCAATACATGTAGTACATTTATCAAAGCGGTAAAACATTTATCAAAATCCAATACTACCTAATAATTAAAATAATAATATATTATGATAGATTGTGCATATCTGATAATATATTTCGTTATCTTATTCGAATTAATATACCTCTCAATATCAATATGCCTTATTAACTCAAAGGTATGAAGAGTCACCGCTGGGAACAACGTTTGTGTTTATAAGCACTTTGCGATTCGCTCAAACGCCAATAGCTTGAAAACTAAATGCTGCACAGTTTCTGCAGCTGATATCGACCTGACCTTTGCATCGAAACCGCATTGAAGATCAAATCCACCTCACATTTAGAGCCCGACTTTGTAGGATGTATATTTTGTAATGCATCTGTCGTAAGAATTAATACAAATGCAGGAATAAACCTTACTTTGGCCATCTTTCTCGTACCCTGTCGTCATTAGTTAGTACAGGAATTTGTGCATGTTTCAGATATTGACACTCGGTTGCCAAGGACAGTCATGTCTATGAAGAAAAATAATGATAATATAAGGGTTCTATTATTTATTTCGCTAAAATCCAGTCTTTGTGGAATCCCATGTCACAAAGGGGATTATTCTGTAAAAATCTTTCTTGGTCCATATATGAATATGATAACGAAGTTTTCAATAGAACAGTCAGGATGACATCTATCTTACTTTAACCGTTGATCTGTTGAAGTTTTTGGGAAGCTTACTTTCACGGGGAGAAGTGTTTGTCAACTGGTATATATATGTGAAAGTAGGCTTCACAAGATATTCAATAGATCAACGGTTAACGTAAACTACAGTTTCATGAAAGAGAGAGAGAGAGACAGAGAGAGAGGGGCGGAGAGCGAGAGTGGGGGGAGAGGGGAGGAGTGAGAGAGAGGTCGATCAGTTTTTATATATCCTCAGCACAAGTTACACAAGTAACATTTTCAAGGTGTATCTCGGTGAGCTGAATAGCCACTACGAATGCTTACTGGAGTCAGAGAAGGTTACATAATTACTTTCTCTGTTTTGAAACCACGGTGATTGGTTCTTAAATAACCATTCATTTAAAAAGTCTGTGCAAAACACCAGGTTTTCAGTGGTTGATAAGAACCATTTTTGTCTACAGGATCCAAATAATTTGAAAATAAAACTTTTAAAACTTTGTTCTTAAATACATTTATCCGACTGGGATCAAGAGTTTGTGAGTTTTAAACGTGTACGTAGAAATGTACTGAAGGCTAAAGTGTGTCAAAGGAGTTGATTTTTTAATTTTGCGAGAAACAGTGAGTATTTTAACATTAGACTGCCCATATTTAGATTTTGGTTGAAACTTTACTGTTCAAACTTTTTGCTCAAAATATTAAAAACTGGCAAACCAAAAATACAAAAAAATAAAATAAAATGAGACTTCCGGTTGCTCATGGGAAGACGATAACGTCTGTTTGAAGGCTCCCGCCAATCCACGGGTAAATCAACAAAATCCTCATAAATGAAAGTTTAGAGAAACAAAACTACTAGATCAAACAGAAGGTGGATCAGTGGATTTACCTGGAAGAACATTTTTTCAATATTTCAAATTCCTGTACCAATTCAAATCGTCAGAGAAACGCCTGTCTGAGCTTATTTGTTCGGTAAAAGTGAAATACAAGATTCAATAGAGTCAGTGAAATCAGAAATGTCTGAGATGACCTAAAAGGTTACCGCAATCGACCACAGTGTGTCCCAACACGAAGAGGCGATTACAAAATTACTTGACGAACTTATTGAAGTGAAAAACAAACACACTCATCTTGAAAAAACAGCTCCTCATGAAAGATATACACGACAGGAAAACAAACCTCCTGTTCTATGGAATCCCCGAATATCCACAGGACAATGCTTAGCGGGCTCTCAGAAACTTCCTCGTAGACAGGTTGAAGTTTAGCAGTGCGAGAGTCGACGAGATGTTCCTCAAACTCGCGAAGCTGCTGAGATCAGAGGGAGAGAAATGATCTGGACTCGGGTTCGGGTGGTCGCCACAGAGGTAGTTATCGAAATAAAGGATCCACAAGACCCAACTTCATCGTGATTAAATATGACCTATAAACAACGTATACTCTCAGTGTGTTTATTTACGTGCCATGTATGCAAGACACGGAGTCTTCCCGGCAACAAGTTATATGCAGAATCTGTATAAAAATGTCATATCCGTAAGTACAGTCTCCACCCCTTGATTAACCCGCCATTAACCCCCCATTAACTCAACAACTGTATTGAGTACTTTACTGTACATACATCCAACGAATAAGCTACGTTTGTTTTTATATTTGTAGGATCAAACAATATAATACATAACACAAGTCGTGCATAGAAGCTGATTCAACTACTACGATGAACAACGCTGCACGTTTTTTACGCGCTGGACCAGTCCATTAGAGACGCACGTGCCCCCAACAGTATCGGGTTTTGCTTTCCTTCAGAGTGACAATTTGTGTTGTGACATGGCGTTCAAGAGGGACAGTGTGTTCTCTCTGCTGCTCAATCATGGCAGCCTTACACTTATTTGGGGAGGTGTGTATAACATAAAGTTATGTGGACACTCTGCACAAGAGTTTTGTATTTACTTTACGTTTGAACATTAGAGCAGTGCGCTATCGCACCTTGTGCTTTATCTAATTGTGGATTATGTCATGTGTGGATATTCCTTCGGACATTTAAAAGTGAGTATAATTTACTTTGCTGAATCCTCTACATCCGATGATATTATGATGGCAATGTCCATGAAATATATAACCACCCCTCAGTGTACTGTGAGTGCGCGCCTATCTCCGTCGCTTACTCCCTGTATCTTGTCCATACTCCTATTCAATATCCAACTACACACACGTTCAGCAAACGTGTTATGGACCCTTCCTCTCTGTAGGATCAAATAATAACATAACTGTCCAAAGCCTGCGTAGAACGTATGCAACTGTTACGTCAATGCTGTATTCTGGTGCTGTTACGCTGAATCATTGCCGTACGCTTTTTGCGTTCTTTTGAGGCGACGATTTTAAGATTCATTAGTCCCCCAAACCCACACATCAAACCATGGTATAACCCACTCTGTATAAGTATTAGTACGCCATACCTAACAGAGGGCACATATAGGTGAAATCATAATTCATAACCTCTCCATGGGTTCAGTACCATGTGTGCCTCAGATGCTATTCCCCGTAGTAATTCGTGTAAGAATCTGTACAAGAGTATCTTTCCACAGATCCCCTTCCCTAACTAAAGAACCGGAATCTATACCCGTACATTCCTTTACATATTCATATATGTATACTGGCGGTGGGCTACCCTAGTGGTTAAAGTGTTGGCTCGTCACGCCGAAGACTCGAGTTGGAATCCCCACATGGGTACAATGTGTGAAGCCCATTTCTGGTGTCCCCCGCCGTGATGTTGCTGGAATATTGCTAAAAGCGGCGTAAGACCAAACTCAGTCAGCCAGTCAGTCAGTCATATATGTATGTGTATGTGTATGTGTATACGTATACATGCGTATGTGTGTATATGCGCGTGCGTCTTCAACTAATGTACGGTTTTATACACATATTTGCGTCATATTTGATTTTTATTTGTATTATGTCGGGACTAGATATAATGGTGTGTTGGATCAGGTTATTTATGTTTATCATGATATGTGCGTTGTCTTTTGGAGCATAATTCCGCTCTTTCACATCCTTCAACGCGACAATTTAGATGGGTATCTATCGATGAAATTTGAGCTATGAAACCCGTGGGTAGGGTTAGCCTTCACTTTGTTCGCAATGTTATGTTTTTCATTTATGTGTTTTTAATGTTATTGTGTTTGCACCTCATTCTATGCATTTACCACAACTCTGTTAAAAACATAAACAAAAGCCCGAACATGGGCCTTCTACGACATTGCCGTTTTGCTGTCTACGTAACCCTCTCGCATATTCGGTTTATTGGTAAAAGCCTCACAATTCGTCTAAACATGTAACAAGCCTTAATAAATGGACGATACACTGAAAATAGTAAAATGTTGAGGCATCAATGATAAAACTAAACGTAAAGAAATATCCACATTTCTAAAGAAAAGGAAAGCCAATGTCTACTGTTTGCAAGACGTGCAATATGGAAGAAAATATGGAAAAAAATATAAAAGAAGAATGGGAAACAAAACTGTTTCTTTGGCTCGTATAAAGTAATTCTAGAGGTATAGGTATACTGTGTGTTAATAGTTTTGACTGCAAAATCGTGAACGACAAATGCGATGACAATGGCAATGTGCTGATTGTCGAAATGGACATTAACGATTATAAGCTATGTGTTACTATTTATGGACCAAATAAAGACGACGAAAACTTTTATGACAACCTAGACACGACAATTAGAGCTCTCGATGGTGATCATATCGCTCTGTGCGGAGACTGGAATGTTATCCAAGATTATTCAAAATTGATGTATTCAGCTACAAACATGTAAACAACCCAATAGCAAGGGATAGAATTCTACGACACTTGGCGACAACCCACCCCTTTGAAATAAGCACGCTTGACTACTTTTCATTTCCATAATATAGTACCTTCCGTTATGAAAACGGAAGGGACCTAGCTTCAGAACGGACCACTCACCAATATCACTAACGTTTAAACTTACAGACCTTAAACGAGTGAAAGGGTTATTGGAAATTCAA